ATCTTTTAAAGGAGGAACTCGAAAAAGGAGGTATGGTTTTAAATTTGATAATTTCCTGACAGAACATCCGGATTTCTTGCAGATTGTTCAAAAGGAATGGTCTAAGTATATTGAGGGATCCTTTATGTTTCGGGTWACTTCTCAYCTGAAARCTCTTAAGGTCCCTTTTCGTAAGCTGAGGAATTCCTATGGAAATCTTGGGCAGCGTGTTGCTTTTCTGAAAACTGAGTTAGACCGGATCCAGATCGATGTGGATAATGATCCTTCTAATGCTGATTTGGGGAGGGATCTTGGTGATATTCGTCTTTCTTATCAATTGTCTTGTTGGGATGAAGAATGTGCTGCCAAAGTCAAATGGTTAAATGAAGGTGACTCGAATACGAAGTTTTTCCATAGGGTGATTAAAGAACATCATCACTCTAACTCTATCATGTCTGTCTGTAATAGTCGGGGCAATTATGTTTCTGGCGATGATGTCCCTAAAGAATTTGTGGATTATTTTAAGAGTTTCTTTGGTGTTCGGAATGTTTCTACAGACCCGGTCATGGCTAATATTTCTTTTCCAAGGAAGTTAATTTTGTCAGAAGCTCTTGATATGATTCGGCGGGTCACGAATGAAGAAATTAAAAATGCTATGTTTAGCATTGGAAATCATAAAGCCCTAGGCTCTGATGGGTTTACTTCAAAAATTTTCAAGGCTTCATGGGGAATCATTGGCCGTGATGTGGAGATAGCGGTCCATAATTTTTTCTATCGAGGTAATCTCCCGAAAGAACTGAACCATACGCTTATTTGTCTTATTCCTAAATCTGCTAATGCTTCTAAGGTTACGGACTACCGGCCTATAGCGTGTTGTACTGTTCTCTATAAATGCATTAGTAAAGTTATTGCTAATAGAATGAAGGGGTGTCTGGATTCTCTTATTGATAAGTCCCAGTCGGCTTTTATTCCGGGTAGGAGGATAACGGATAATATCCTTATGGCTCATGAACTTGTTTCTGGGTATCAGTCTTTGGCTGGCCCTCCTAGATGCGCGTTTAAAATAGACATTAAAAAAAGCTTATGACACGGTGGATTGGAGATTCCTCATTGTTTTGTTACAGGGGTTGGGATTCCATCCGGTTATGGTTAATTGGATAAGGGAGATGGTTTCATTTTCTCTGGCGATAAATGGCAATTCTTACGGTTTTTTCCAAGGGGGTCGGGGTCTTAGGCAAGGGGATCCTTTATCCCCTTATCTGTTCACTATTGTCATGGAGGGCTTCTCTATGATTCTTCGGCAATGTATTCAAGAGGCTTCTGATTTTGGATATCATCGGGGTTGTGAAGATCTGAATATTACGCATCTTTGCTTTGCGAATGATCTATTTGTTTTTTCTAAAGGCGATGTCCAGTCGGTGGAGGTGCTTAAAAAGGCTCTTTGTCTTTTTCATCAACGATTGGGGTTAGAACCTAGCCTTGAAAAGAGTGAGGTCTTCTTTGGGAATGTGTCTTCTAACATTAAGGAGACCATTCTTGAGTGTCTCCCGTTCAAGCAAGGTATGTTTCCTGTTCGTTACTTGGGTGTCCCTTTATCTCAAG